GAGCGGGTGCAAAACCGTATGAGAACAGAGATGCTTGAATGCAAACCAGAAGTGTTTTTTGGTTAATTGTGTTTTCTGGGTTTCCACAATTTATCCTTAAGTAGAAAAGAGCTACTTCATAAGAGTACTACTCAATTGGAAGAAATCGTGGTGCAGAAAAACAAACTACGCATAGAGGAACAGTTTCAAAAGTTTACAAAACTAAATGTAACTCTGTTACTGCAGACCTCTGCTGCCAGAGACATACCCTTTAAAGCATGTGGCCAAAGGTGGATCTACAGTGTTTACTCAGAAGGACTGAATACATATGCACTTTTTTTCCAGATTTTTATTGTACAAATGGTTAAAAGCAGTCATCATTTTTTCTTGCAGTTGACATCCATTGACTTACTTGTATTACTCTAGCACATTAGATCCCTACATTGAAGATTGTGGTTGTAATAAAAAATGTGAAATTGTTCAAGAGTTACTGTAGCAATACCAATTAGCCCTACTTGTACCGGAACACTTCTGCAGCTAGGCTTGGCTAATGAATAATATAATGGGAGAGATGGATGTGGTTTTAATGAGCAGTGCCTGAAATCATTACAGAAGTTACTGCAGTCATTAGGTAAGTAATAAGTCACCGGAGCTAATGTGCCAGTGCGTTCTTTCGTGTCTGAAGTCTAAGGGAAGGAGAACATGGTTGGCCGATTGTTTCAGAGATGCAGATATATAATGTTCCATAATAACTTAATGCTTAATTCATTTTAAATCCCATGTATCCTTCTGCTTTTGTGCCGCAGTGATCCATACACCAGACTGTCCCTTTATGATCCCATCAATGGAGAAATCACAAGTCTGCAGACTAAAACCATCAAAAAGGTGAGAGAACGCCAGCAGCTAAGGCTGCTTCACTTTATAGGGTCTGTTAATATTTCATGCTCTGTTTATTTATTTTCTTGTCTTATCTCACGATACCCGAAGACTCTGGACCCAAAGTGGAATGAAGAATTTTATTTCCGAGTAAGTGACACTTGAAATACATTGGTAATGCCGTTCAAACATGGATGCACGTTTATTTTATTCTGACATGGCTAATGGAAGTTAAACTACATGATTTTGATCAGGAATTGTGTTTCTAAGCTCTTTTATATTTTATTTCCTAGAATGGGAAATTTCTTAACTGACTGTGTTTTGTGTTTTATAGGTGTTTCCCAGAAAGCACCGGCTTCTGTTTGAGGTGTTTGACGAAAACAGACTGGTAAGCGGTTGAAATTTATAATGATTTGATGAAGCCATGTTGAGGTTTTTTATGTGTGTTCTGTTTTTCACTAAAGTAAAGTTAAAGATTGTGGTTTGACGCTGTGCACTCCTACACTTTCTAACTTAAAGATCTAAGTTAGAAAGACATCTCTGAACTGTTATTGGTTACAGAAAAGTATCTATTCTCTCTAGAGTAAGTTTGACTGATTTCCCTGAGCTAACTTAAAAAAAATAAATAAAATAAGCTGACAATAATAGGAGCTGCAGGAGACAAGCTGTTAATGCAAAATATTTTCTTTAACATTTCCGTGCTCTTAGTCAATGTGAGGTCATGTTTAGGTCATTTTCTTGAATGAAAACCAAAATATTAACGTTAATAATCAACCATCTTGTTGATGTCGCACATGAAAGACTGTTGTTCAGGATTTATGGCAGTAATGAAGTTGATATTATGATCTGTGTTTGGACACCATAAATGGCAAACAGGAGATTGTGTCACATTTTTATAGATGCGGGTATCCTCCAGTCAGTGCAAGGGTGACTTTGCTTTGTCTCTCTGTCAAAGATGCAGGGGGCCCTTATTTGGCCGGATTACACTGGATGTTGTTGGAAACCTATCGTAGCTCGTTTCTCCAAGCTGTAAATAAGGGTAAATCTGGCTTCTGTTAGGGCATCCTAACGGCTGTCAGGGTGGGGATTAAGAGCTCTGGCTCACCTTAGGAGTTTAGCTTTGCTCTGGAGTTTTGATTTTTATTTATTTTTTTTATTTTTTTTTTAGGCATGAATGCACTTGACAAACATTTTAATAATTTTGTTGTTGGTTTGTCTTAAAAAGGCAGCATCCTACAATCAGAGCCAAACAAACTGAAGCACTGTTAGAAAATGAAGTCAGTTGAGTGATATAGGGAAACCGTCCCGCTACGCATTAGCAATCCTTTTTATTTATTGTTACTATAGCAATCAATCTAAGTAATTAAAGCTTGATTTTATTTTTATGTTGTTGTTTTAGGTCAAATAAAAACATCTAACCTTTAAAAAAGATTTTCTTCAGTAGAAAATATTAAAAAAAAACATTTTAAGAAGCACATAATTTGAAGTATAATGCTTGTTAAAGTTAAATGCAAATGCTTGAAAAAAAGAAATGGCCTTTAGATTAAATAATACTGCTGATCTTTGTCACTGTTCCATGCACTTCTGGTAATGAACAGGTTTTTAAGAGCAGCTTGTAGCAGCAGACTATCAACCAGCATAGCTTTTGTTTTCCCTAGAGTTTACAGTTAGACCTCCCCAATGCCAACTCTCCATCTGTATCTAAAGCTTCCTCCTGTGAATAATGTAAACACTGTAGAACACTTAGTCAAGATAAACATCTTTAAGGTCCTGAGTTTAAACCTATCAAATATCACTTTACCCTTTTTGCTGGCGAGTGTTTCCATTACTGTAACTAGACAGTACCATTTTTTTCTATTTCTGGACTGACTTTTTTTTTCTTTTTTTTTTTCCTGAAATTTCTTATTTTGAAAAACAGTAGGAGTCCATAACTTCTATATCAAGGCTTCCATGTAGGATCCTTGGTGTTGTTGTATAATCAGTGGTGGATGCAGGCCCTGTCAGAGCTACACTGTGTGTTGTTCTCATTAACTGGAATTACTAGTAGATTCTGCTCAGTAATTACTAAGAAGAAACACTTCTTAGTTCCAAGAAGAACAAGTTAGGGCAGGGCCATCTGTGCCCTTTTTTCCCCTGAATATCTAGTTATATACAAAATATATGTAGAACTTTCTGCATAGAGCACTAAAAGCTATATTCTGATAACAATTGTTAGCCTCACTTCTTACAGTGGTCATATTTCGCTTTGAAAAATTTGTATAGATGTTGTTTTTATTTATACGCGAGACACATATACATTTCACCTTTTTAGATAGAATTGAGCTGTTTTTTAATAAAGGTACAGTATATAATCCTACTGTACAGTTTTCCTCTTTTATACGTTTCTTTAAATAGATGGCTTTTTCTCTCTTTCTTGTCCTATTCTATTCTTATCAGCCATGATCTGACTGAAAAGTTACAGTCAATCATTATATAACATTTATTACATAATTATAATGTATGTAATGTTTAGACATTTTCAGCTGTTATTGTTCTACATGTGGTCATTGTTTGTATATTGAGAGAAGGTTTCTGGAATGTGTCACCACATCACATGTTTACAGTCACGGGAGCATAAACTTAGGCGTGGCTCACTCAAATCTGTCTCATCATGCACCAGGTAGATTTCATAGTACTTTGAGGGGTGTGTCAGTGCTGTAAATGTGATTCACACTAAGTGCGCTTCACTGCTCCTCTGTACTAAGAACTGAAAGCACGATAATTCTGAAGTTTTATAAATGCAATTATTTCTGAATTACACCTGTGGTAACAGAGGCTCACTTTCTCCAAAGCCATTAAAAGATTGCATCCGTGTTTAATTTAAGAGTCTATAGGAACTCCATCTTGAATTTATATGCAGCACCTGCATAAATAGACTCAGAAAATGTGATGTGATTGCTGGAGAAGAGTAAATTAGGCAAACCAAATTCGCAGAAGTATTTACAAAATTTCAGCATTAGAGGAAATTCTGTTTCTGTAAATATCTGCTTCTGCTGATGCACCATACCGTTTCAGGAAGGTAAATGTAAAAAAGAAAAAGTCACCTTTTTTCCAAATAAACATGTTTGAATAATACTAAGAAATGGATCCATATTGGGTAAAAGACAGGACGCATCCTTCCTCTTACACTTGTTGATAGATTTAGGATTTATTTTTTTTCCCTCTGAAGTCAAAGCACACCTTTCTGGATCAGCTTCGATGTCTACATCACAAACTAATTCTCTGAAAGCCTTATCGGATAAAACTTCCTCTGTGTTTATTTGGTTGTTGTTGGTGTGCAATTCTTAAAGATATGACATTAAGCTTCATTGCATTGTGAACACATATCATAGTGCGAGGTCATATAGGGGGGCTAGCTTATCATACAGTTGCGTCGTTACAATCGCTATGAATTACTATTACAGCCTGGATAATGGTTGGTAAAAAAAGAAAACAAAAAAGCATTTTGGTCAGTCTGCTCCTAATTTATGAAACTGGTTACGAGTCCCACTGCAGCGGCTTCCTCTAATGAGTCATGCCCTTATCCTGGCTGTGGCTCCTACTATTAAACATTAACCTCTTGCTGATTTGGAAGCAGTGTAATGACCTAAAATAAATAGTCCACTGCCTACAATAGGCTGCCATTAATAATAGTGGACTGTCAACATCCTTTAAAAAGAAATAAGACCAGCATAGACTGTTACATGAGGTGTCGTATAACCTGTGTCCGACCATTTTAATGTCACTGTGATCACTTTTATTTCTTCCTTCTGTCATATGTTTATTTCTTCCTTCTGTTGTATGTTTTTTTCCAAACAGTCTTACCTCATTCTTGCAGAAGGCTAAGTTTGTGTGCGTGTGCTGTGTATTTTTGCAACCTAGATAGACCTTGGTTTAATGCAGACTTACACTGGCATTCATTCTCTTTGATTTCCTGTAATCCAATAGCAGTGGGTAAAACTATTTGCGGGGGGACAGAGCAGTTGAAACATAAGTGGGATAGCAGCCGCAGGACTCCCAAGTTAGTGGCCCAACACAGATGTCGCACTTTGCCAGAGCTTCAGTTAAGGATTCAGAACGGAGGACTGCCGTGTTTTTATCTGGCTGAATTTTACTTTTATTTTAGTATAGCTTCATTTTCTGTGTCTGGTTTAAACTCCATAAAGAGGCATACTTAGAGGATCGCTTCGGTTTCAAAGGTCACATGTTTGGGTCATCTCTCCAGACCGAACCAATGGCCTGCTCGGACTAAAAGCTGAGATCAGCCTGCAGAGGAATGTAGCTTGTCACTGGAGCTGGGCAATGCACTGCTGCTAATGATTGTGTTCACAGAGCAGAGTGTGGAACAGTTGGCTTTTTTTTCCTTTTATTAATTAATTTTTCCCTACCAGCAAGTTGGATCATGCACATCTCACAGGTGCTCCAGGGATTAGAGAGTTGAACAAATGGCACGTCAGCTCCGCTTGCATTTCGCATCAAGAAGAAGCAACACGGACCCCCTGTCTGAAAGCGTATGCTGCCATGGTGAAGAGAGCGGAGTCGGTGTGTCAGCGGACGGCCCCGCAGAGAATCTGGCGCACAGCTCTGTCCACTTGAAGGTGACTCCTCAGTCACCAGAGTTGGCCTGCAGTCAGAGCTCTTCACTGTTCATATCTAGGGTTAACCCTGGAGGCTGTAACCAAAAGAGTGTGTTGCAGATTTCGCTGCAGCCATGTGGAAAACCAAGCGGAGATTTTGAAGCAAGCATAGACGATGCAGGTGACTGTGGAGCAGGTGCCTGCTCTGACGGAGGCTCGTGCAACAGCAGCATGGCCAGCGACGCCGGGTACTGCAGCAGCAGCAGCATCTTTGAGCCAGAGTTCCCAGAAAAGCACAGGAGCAACCATGAGAGGACCCAAGCCTCCCGCAGGTCCAAGGTCCCTCTGCGGCGGTGCTCTTCCTTGGTTATTATTCCAAAGAGTCCTTGCAGCACTCCGCCTGCTTCTCCTTTAGGACCTTCGGCTCAGTTTACTCTGCCCCCATTAAGGGGATCTCATCAGCCCGTTCTCCGGGGATCTGCCAGTGAATTCTTCCAAGCAGATGATGCAGTTATAAGTAAAGAGCCGTGTGTCGCTGCTTTAAGTGGCCACAATCAGAGTAAGGGAAGCTATTCTTCTGAGTTAAGGGACTCAAAACATACAGTGCACTTTAACATCCCTTTAAAAGATGAACCAACGTGCAAATTGGATGAAAGGACCACAGGCATGGAGCTGTCGTCTAATCTCCACTCTAGCAGTGTGATGTTGCGTTTTGCCAACCAGAAACCAATACTATCGGCAAAGAGAGCTGCAGCCAATGCACAACACCCTGATGCATATCACCAAGGTGAACTCTCCGAAAGACGAGACGAAACTCACAAAAAACTGTATCGGAGTACCTCTGCTTGTTTATGTTCCTCAAATAAACAACCGGAGAAAAACAGAAAGGTGTGTTCATCAGGGAAGGGTCAAGGCAAACACTCCCATCAAGCCATACAGAGGAGCTTTTCGCTTGAGGTGCCTTATGCTAACACAGGGATTTCATGTCACGTTTCCAACCCAAAGCTGAGCAGCCCTAGTTCTCCCCATGTACACATTCATTTGTCTCCTTGCTTCCCTGCAAAAGTGCCAGCTACTCCTCATGACTTTAAAACAAGTCGAAAAGGAGAGGTGAGTGATAAGATTTACTGACTTTTCCATGCTGCTTACAAAAAAATTAATGTTTTGCAGAGGAGTCACATAATGGCCCATTGAAAGAGACGACAATGTTGCTGAACTAGTCTAAGCAGATTCCACACAGCTTTGGTCTGACTCTTCACAACGCCTTCTTAACTGCTGTCAGATCTAGGACAAAAAACAACAGACTTTTTATAAATAGAACAAAAAACAAATTCTGTTATTTATTTATTTTTTTACATGCCAAATAATGCCTATTAAAAGGTGCAGCCACTGAAATTAGAATTTTAAACTGTTTTTCTTTAGAGTGCTTATAAGAGAGCAGCTTGGGTAACTGAGAGCGTCTCTAACTCTTAAGTCGTGTATTTAACAAGCTGAGTGTGGACAAACATTCACAGGTGTTCAGTTACGTTACAGTAAATCCATCTGGACATTAGCTTCCTAGAACCGTGGAGGGACCAGTTCTTTATCCTGTGGGTCTCATCAATCACGTGTGCAAACGCAGCTTAAGAATAATGGTTTTATTTTATGTCATTTATCTGATAACCCTTTAGGGATCAGCTTGTGTATTTAGTGTGGTTATTTTAAGTGTTGGGAAATGCGGTGACCCCTTTGCTGATATAAATAAGCCGGCTCTGAAATATTCCCCCTGACTCCAGATCGTCTGGTGGTCTGAAGCACAGCCTGCTTCTGTGGATTCAAATTTAACAGCATGATACTAGAGCAGCCATGCTAGCCATCTGTGGCCACGTGTGTACGAGGTGCAGGGTTAGCTTTCCTGTCACCCCCCCATCCACCCACACACACAGCACCAAGTAGTGTTTGTGAAATATCAGGTGTCCCTCTCCCCTTACATTTAGCAAGCTGTCAAGAGATCTACCACAGTAATTTGTCTCTTTTTCTCAAATTGTTTTTTGAACGGAATTGCTTAGTAATGTCTCATAATTACTTCTGAATATTAAAAGTAAGTCTTCACACTTCAGCATCGTAGTTCGGTGACAAATTAATTTCCTTGTTAAAGAGCATTGGCGATAAACATCTTTTAAAAAGTTTTTCTACAGCTATAACTCCTCTAAACCACTTATTTAAGTTCCCATTTCTAGTTTTGCTACTTTGACAGTTACTTTACATTTCTATAAACATTTTTTTCTTTTTTCTATTACTTAGAACAAATAATAATTCTTTTGAAAATGTTTAGCCATAAGATTTGTAATATCACCTGCATGCCAGCCTGATACTTGATTACTCTTTAACCAACTTAAATCAAGTATAAATTATTGTTTTTTGTTTTTAGTCAAAGTATCACAATCATAATAATCATTAGCAATAACATCACAACTGTAGTAATCAGGATTATTTTTATTAAGGCAGCATTAAGTTAGATTGTAATTGTCTTTTTTTTTTTTCTTAAAACAAAAGAAAGCCATTATATAATCTTATAGATACTAATTTTTAATGTTTGTTTGAAGTTCATTAATTCACAGTATGTTCTCACTTCAGAATCATGCATTAGACATTTACAGCTGTGCTTTAATAGGGACAGCTTGCAAATATATACAATAATTGAAATAAATAAGAGGGAAAAGAGGGAAAAAACACATTCCCAGTCTCATTTATTTACGACACGTTTAAATGAGCTTTCAATTGAAAAATACATCTATTGTTTTACTTTTAAGGTAATACAGATTTATAGTAGAATTGAATTGTTCACTCAAATCACTTTTTCTTTCATATTTCCTTTTTTTTAAAAACAACAATTGAAGTACATCTAGAATTTTTGTTATATTGATGCGGTTTACTGTGAGATTTGAATAAACCTTCAGCCTTGCTCTCCTATCTTTTCACCCTCATGACCACATGTGCTTCCTCAGAAAAGTTAATGAGCAACCAGATGTGGTTGTGTTACACAACTGAGGGAGAAAAGCATGACTGGGATCAAATTTTCACATTCTTTTGGACAATAGTGGTTATAGTTTGTAAAAACTCATCTTCGCACAATCATGGATTTATTTACTCAGTCTAGTTTGCTGTGATGCAATCATAAGAATACATAAAGTTAGGGTATATTTTAATTAATCTCAGTTCAAACCTTTTTAGACTTTTTTTTAACACATGTAACTTTTTAAGAGCATGTGGTTTTGTTACATAAGGTTAGAGTTTCTACAGATTCCTGAAGAATCATCCATTCTTGTCATCCATGTCATCCATTTTTTCAAAGACGTCAAACCCCTATTAGGAAAAATGCCCCTCTCTTCATGCTTGCTTCTATGCTAAACTCATCAAGTTAATGGATTGTTTTCCAGCCATCATTCTGGAAAACTGTGACCTTTACTTAGTATTGGAGTTGAACTAATTATGTTTATACTACACATTTTCCATGAGTGTGGAAAATTATTGGGGGAGTCAGATAAGCGAGTGAATCACAAACCATCTATTGTGACACATGCATGTGCTCACGCTCAGAATAGGTCATCACCACACAGATAGCTTGCCCATTCTAACTACAGCTCGTTTTCCCACTTGTCAAAAGCAGTAAGTTGTTGCACATGTGAGAAATATTTAAGAGCATGCTCCACCGATGCAGGTCATCTCCAGCTTATACAGTTTCGGATCTAACCTTAATGTCCCACTGTGCTCTGAGCAGCATTTAGTGTCACCTGAGTCTTCAGGGAGGCCCTGAATGGAGATTTGTCTGTAATCATAACCTCAGTTTGGGTGTTCGTTAAGTATCCAGAGCTTCTGTGTTCTTGTTTTTAAACCTGCCCCACTAGGGAAGCTTCCAAGAAAGAGGATATGAGGAACTACATGATGGGTAGCAGAGGTTGAATGCCATAATTACTCATATTAAATGCAATTAGCAAGCAGGCAATGTATGCCGTATACATTTGAAAGGTAATAGCAGTTTTTAGCCCTAGCATGTGTGGCAGGAAATGTGATCGCGCTGACATAAATTTATCATAACAAAGGAAAGTGTTGTATAGACTAACCGAGGTAGTGATGGCAATTTTGAAGCCCCGTGAACCATTTGACACAATTTGCCAAAACTCGACACTATGTTTGATACATTTGAAAACAGTTTAGAATGACTGCATCTGCTGGATAGTCTTCAGAACTACAGTTGAGCATGTGTCCTAATGTCTGCATTATTTCATGCTTGAACTGGTTTGTTCCATAATAGTAGTTTGGATTATTATTATATAAATAAAAAATTATAATGTCTGACCTGTGAAATTGCAATATGGGCTTAACACGCACACCCTGCAGCTGAAAGACTCTTGGCTCGACTCCTAAATGGTTCCTTTATTGAGTATCTGTAATTTTTGGGGAATAATTTGTATTAAAGGTATAGTGGAGGATGTTATTTTTCCAGGTGGATCATCAAAATAAGTTGTCCTCCTAATTGTCAGTTGCTCTGGTGATATGTTTACGTAAGGCCGTCCTATGTGCTTGTTCCCATTTTCACTCACCTGTGGTGAGTTTGACATTGTCGAAAAATTGCAAATCTTCTTTTGGAAAGTAAGCTTGTATGAGCGATGCAAACAGCAACTTTTAATCAGAGTGTGCATGAGGAGAAATGGGCTTGTGCATGCTGTCACATGGGTTTAATAGGCTTTCCTCTCAAGAGAGGGTACAGGGTTTGTGCTTTTGTTCATTTCTTTTTAAGTGGAGAGGGCAGTTCTATTACAAAAAATAGCGAAAATCCTCCACTACCCTTAATTAAGACACTTCTGGGGCCTATTACTTGAGTGGGCTGCACATACAACTGTATAACATTAATAAATAATCCTTTAAATATTTCTGATAGTTAAATGATTAGAACCAACTCTGCTGCTCAGTAGTTCCCACAGGTTCTCCATGTTCCTGCTGTGGTTCTGACAGATGAAGATAATCATATTTAAGAAGCATCAATAACTGTTTAGATGTGCCGTGTGAATAAATATCTGTGATAAAGTAATAAACAGGTTACTGTGGTGGGTATAGATATGTGTCTGTACTATTTGTGTGTCTATTTTAGATCTATGTGCATGTAGTGAACCATTCTGAATCAATTCTGAACTCGACCCAAATTTAATCTTTCTTTCATTGTCTTTGAATAAAACTGTAAATGGGAAAAATACCCGGTTTGAGCCAGGAATGTGATGCATTTCAATACATAAGTAATATTAAAACGCCCAAATGATTCGGATTTACTGTGTGAAGCTCAACACAAAGTGTGCCATAACGAAGCCTCGCTCAAACGGTCACGCGGCTGGGGTGAGCTCGAAACACTTCTCAGCGACACTTCTGCTACGGTCGAAGCTGTGTTGAGCAGAATGACTCGAGGCTAAAATCACTAAAGTGAGGAGAGAAAAATTATCAGACTTAAAATAAAATGGTAAAAAACAAAAATAAAAAGTCAAACCAAAAAAATCTTAAATTTAAAGAAAAGTCTTGGTGTGTGCATCTATTTCATTAGAAATTATCTATGTAAACCTATAAAAGCTTAAACTTTAGCTAATAATCCCTCCACCCAGTGGTATAATTGGATACAATATAGATATAAATTAAATAAAATTTAAAGATCTATAAAAGAGAAAAAGTATAGAAAGTTCTTTTAAAATATGGAAATCTAAGGGGGGAAAAAAAAGAGTAAATCTTAGATCATGGTTCCTTATTTAGCTAAAAGTTAGTTTTATAGGAAAGAAGTTTGAAGAAATAAAGGCTGAATGTGTTCTTAAATAGTTTATGAGCGGCTTCAGTGCACTTTGATATTTGCAGCTCTGTGGAACTTTACTGGAAGGACCTAACATCGCTTCCTCAAAAGCAACTGCTTTATTGCGCTGAGCCAAGGTTCACTATGGATTATCAGACCTCTGAAAAAGTTTTTTTAATTTTACTATTTATTTATTTATTTATTCATGCTTATCCAGGTTTATACTATATATAAATATAATTACAATATTTTTTCAGTTTAGAAGTGGAAACTTAAATGGTTAAAAATGCGATCTTCATTATTTTAGGTGACATTCTGTGAAATTAGTTTTTTATCTATTTAAACAATGTTGTCACTTCTCTTGCATTCAGATAATGACCCAATCAGGACCTCATTAGGATGTATGTTTTCCCCAAACTGTATGAATAAACAGGCAGGGTATCATTGGTTTCAATAGCCGTCATGTTAGCATTCCCTATACGCATAGATATGCTCTTATTAAGTACCAGGCTGTTCATATTTAATTACTTTCTCTTTTTTTAGAGACTGTTCTGGTAATTGATTTAAAGAAAACTAATTTTTAACGTTGAGATTGGGATAACCAGCCTGTTGACTAGAGATTAAACCAGAATAATAATAATAATAATAATAAGAAACATATTATAGTAGATAAATCGTTTTCACTGGAGTCACATAACCATATTTTCCATTGGTAGTTGGCTATATTATAAAAAATCTATTTAAATCAGATGTTGTCCGTCGAACATCCCTGAGGGGGGAATTAATAAATTCTATGGTCAATATCTCCTTTTAACTGGTGCAAAACAACTGAAATAGAAAAAGTTAGTTATATGTGAAGTGGTGAAATAACTTGCACTCTATTGTTAGGTTGGAAGATTGCCCACAAACCCAAGAGATCACAGCCATCCAGAACTGAGACCTTTGTTGTTTCCTATTATATTTCAGGAACTTTTTGCTTTCTTGCAATAGCTTTAAACATAAACATGACATTCTATACGCTGCTAAAATCATTGTAAACACTGTAAACAACACAATCTAGTGAATCCGAGGGTGTGTCCTTATGTTGGAGCACTGGAAGAGTTAACCGGGTGGTAGGTTGACTGTTAATAAATTAACTGGGTCATCATAATGTGAACACTAGTGCTTAAATATTCATCTTGGGACATTTCCAACTCTGTGTCAATATGCTCCACCTTCTGATTAGATTTTTATTGTTTTTTCTTTTTGTTTTTTTTGTTTTTAAAGTTTGTTGATGGTAAAAGAAATCCAATAATAAATTACACATTCCTGGTGCAATAAAAAGTTTTGTTTAATTGTCATGTCTTGTGAAAGATGAGTTGGTGCAGCGATAACTAATCTGAAATGAGCAGACAAAAAAAAAATAATACTCATGTTGTTGGATGTCTTTATTAGTCACCACAGGAACCTGTTATCTCTCTGTTCAGCTGTTTCTCTTGATGACTCCGTCAGTAATCCTAGGTCAGGTTCTTCCTGCCCTATGTGAGAAGAAGTAAACATTTGAAAGTTTGACCTGTTAAGTGTTTTCATTTGGACATGAGGTGGACTCCCATTATACATTGTGCTCACCTATGACGCTGCAGAACCGCCCTGTACAAAAACAAGTCCTGTGTTTAAGGCTGTGTCAGGGTGTCTGGCTTAGGCTGCAGTATTTTGATCTCGGTCTCTTGAAATAACACAGAGCGGCTAGTTAATAGGAGCCGATAAACACATTCCTGCCATATGAAGTAGAAATATATACAGTAATGCATTATGTCAAAGGATAGTGGTCGTTTGGAGGTGAATGGTATTACTGTCAGCCTTTTCTTCTGTTCATTGCTATATGAGATTATATGAGACAGGCTGTTTGGGCAGGAAAACTACAGAAAAGTCACAACAGTTTCCACATGCTTTTTTGTGTGACAAAAGATGAAGTTAGACAGATTACAAACTGAACTTTATCACGTTTTGGTTTGATATACTTCCTTTTTTCTTAAAGAACATAAGTGCTTAAAAAAATGGAGGACATGGGCGTGCAGGTGGTGCAGTGGTTGGTGCGCACAACCCATGTATGGAGGCCTTAGTCCTGGATGCGGTTCGAATCCTGTGGTCCTTTGCCACATCTCTCCCTCTCTCTCATACCCCCTTTCCTGTCAGCCTTCTGTCAGAAAAATGAGCCACTAGTGCCATAAAAATTAACAAAGAAAATGAAGGACAGTCTTAATGATTCTCATGCACGTCCTTGTTTCTCCTTTTCAGACACGCGATGACTTTCTCGGACAGGTGGATGTGCCCCTAAATCAGATACCGGTGAGTTCTTGTTTTTAATAATGTGAAATGACCTTTATAGCTGGTCCAATTTCACTTTCACCACTGAACAGTAAATCTTAAGACTGAGAAAACAAAAATATTTCTCACATCTGGATAAAAAAAAAAATGGGAGCAGATGATAAATCTCATATTTAGGAAATTATTGAAGACAATATTTGAACTTAATGGGGTTATCACAAAAAAAACAACAACAACCAAAGTGGTTCCAAAACAAAATTATTTAACAAGTTAACCTGCAACTCTTGGTTATACCTTAGGTATCTAATATTAGTTTAGACATGACTGATGTCAGTCTTTCCAGCACACTGTTGTGAATGTTTTTCTCCATGTGGTGAAGGTGTCTTCATTCAGGACATCCAGAGTCTGGAGCTGACATCTTTGTGAAACTACCCTACCACCCCTTCCTAAATGCTTGCAAATAATAAGTCTTTTACCAGTCAGGTTTTATTGACTTCAGTTTTTTCCTGAACTGACAGGCGGTATGGCCGCTTTAACAAAGGAGATGAGGAATAACTCTTTAAAACAAGTTTCAGCTCCATTGTTTTAAATATAAATAAGTTACCAGATATTCATAGATTCACGTTGTGTTCCACTAGATTCTACAAAACCTGGTAATGATCCAGTTGCATTGAGATTTGTGCTGTTCAGATTCAGCTTCATACAGCATGTTTCTTTTTTTTTTTTCTTGTTGAACCTTAAATTTAATCAGGTAATCTGGTCCCCTGCTTGTTTAAATTCAGACAGTCATACGCCGTGTCTGTAAAGGAAACAGTTTAAATCCCCTTCCAATAAAGAAAATTATAGATTTACTCTAGTAATTCAGAACACAACACTGAAAAATGTAATCATAAACAAACATTTACTAAATGATGATTTTAGTAAAATGCAATATTGATTTAGATTTTTTATATAAAACAATAATTCTAAAAAATAAACTGTCCTGGACAAATCAAAGTGCCTTGCTCATGAAAATTTAACCAACATACCTATCAACAGGTGAGAAATTCTGACTGAGCATTTCCTGAACACCATAGAAAATACCTGATTTCAATGATTGCATCAAATGACTGGCAGAGGAATCTTATCAGTCTTAAATGGAAGGGTTTGTAAACTTTGAAGCACAACTGTATATAGTAAAAAATAATGTACAGAAAAATCAAAGTAACTAAAAATGAAGGTAGAAAAAAACGTCAGAATAAGCCATTCAAACGCCGCTTTTTTTGCTCTTGAATCTGTATCTTGTCTTTTTTTGGGGGGGGGGGGTTGTTTTCCAAAGGCAAAACAAATCTGCATGTGTTATGTTTTTACTGTACGATCACTCATCCTCGAGCTCACCTACTTCTCTATATAAACATAAACATGCGCAAACTTATTCTGGTGTCTGTTCCACATCATTTTCTGTAGTTTTGAAAACAAAGTTGGCATGTTTACGCCATGTTTCTGCTCATGTTTAATTGTAAATACAAATTAGCTTCCAGCATGCAGTGCCAGCATCATTCCAGAATGCCATGTCGGGAAAAATAATGGTGTTATAATGCCATGTTGAGCTTTTTTTTTTTTTTTTTAATCTATTTTGGTTTATTTTGTTTCGTTCAGACAGAAAATCCTAACTCACAAAGGCCATACACATTCAAGGATTTTCTGCTCCACCCACGAAGGTTTGCATTTCATTATACTTTTGTGTTGCTTTTTAAACATTCATTTAATTATTTTTTTTTTTTGGGCTCTATCTAAACATTTTTTTTTTCTTTCGGCTTAGTCATAAGTCCAGAGTCAAAGGTCATCTGCGCCTTAAAATGACCTACTTGCCAAAGAACTCCGGCTCAGAAGAGGAATCAGCAGATCCGACAGAGGAGACAGAAGTAAGCCTTTGTGTATCGTATTTTTAGATTTGTCTCTGTAGGCATTCTTCACCTGAGGGGGGGAAATAGATTACAAGACAGTATCTGATCTCATTAGTATCTCTTTGAACTTTGAGATCAACATTTAGAATATAAATATATATATATATATATATATATATATATATATATATATATATATATATATATATATATATATATATATTCCTCTTTCAATACAATTAGTTTCCCCTGATAATAAATCGGTGATTTCATAAATTTTGAGTCTGTGTTTAATAGAGTACTTTGAACAAGTATGAATATTTAACATTTATTTTGTCTAATTTCCTCCCAATATTTGCTCTATTTTATTTGGATTTTATGCAAAATCGAGAGGGAATTGCACAAGTTGGAAAAATGGTTGAATAGTAATGTTTGTGCATTTGTTATCAGTTTCCTTTCATCTGATATGCAGCTACACAAATTCGTTTCAGAGAAAGTATCTGTAGGCCATTGAAAACATGGAAAAATGGTGTCTTGTTTGTTTAAACCTAAATGTAATGAAAAATAGTAGGAAATCCACCATCCGGAGCTTGTTTTTGCTATATTGCTATTTTTATTTTATTGCTATTTTTATTCTTCTGCAAGGATGGTAAAGCTGATCACAGTTGATGGAATGATGGGTGGCGTTAAACGCAATATAATGGTTTAGAACAACCTATCTATCTATAATAAAGGTTGAACCTTTTAAACCTATGGACCTAAATTAAGTGTTGGAGAACTAGAAAGACATTTATATTGTAGTCTGATGGTGTAACATAATTAGATGTAAAAATGTACATGATAACGTTTAGGAGGTTTTAGCTAGTCGTAGTTTTCATTGTTCTCTTCCTCTATTTAACCCTTCTGTTTTTCTGTGTTGCTGTTTAGCATGGCTGGGAGTTTCTGGGTCAGGACACTTCAGGTCCCAGACAGAGCCAGCTGCTTCCTCCTCTGCCTCCTGGCTGGGAGGAACGGCAGGACAATCTCGGAAGAATCTTCTACGTCAACCATGTGACCAGAACTATGCAGTGCCACAGACCCACAATACAGTAGGATATCCTCCAAGTCTTAATGAGTAACATCATTTCCTCAAAGTCATTCTTAATGGAAGAGATCTTACGTGTGTGTTTCTATGTGTTGTACAAAGGGAAAGCAATGGTGAAAGTCACAGACCACAGAACTATAACGTTGATGCGGAGCATGCCTTGAATACACGCAGACAGATCTCCGACCATGATGAGACCACCATCCCACACGAGCCTCCAGAGGTAACCCAGTTCTGTTTTCTGTTCTACTCTCTAGTAGAAGATGATTGTTTTTTTTTGTTTGTTTTTTTATGGTTCGACAGACCTCAAAACTTTGCTCATGATAACTAGATCTTTAATGACTGTTGAGAGGTTAGGCTACACTTTGAATAAGGTTATAGATATATTAACGATACCGACCACCCTAAAGCTTTATTCATACAAATATCACCAGAGGACAAGGCAGAATATCCCTCGGATATCAAGTTACATGACATGGGTTTTGGAATTTGATTCAATTTATGTTCAAATGTCCCACAATTAAAAAATAAATTGTTAAACCTTACATCTACAGCAGCTTCAAAGGCATATTTTTACCCTTCATATGTATGTAGGGAAAAATCCCTATAGCTAGTTCTCACTAACAGAGTATAGGTTGTAATCCTCTCACTTTGACATTTGATCTATAAAAACAGTTTTCCATTACCTGCTTGATAACAAACAGATAATAGTGACAACCTGGTCTAACGTGGTTAAAACTATGCACATCAGATATTTGCCTTGAGACTTTAAAAACAGAACAAACAAGGAAAAGAAGAGACATAATGTTCTGGTTGATCAGATCTGAGACATTCCTTCTAGAATTTGCCTGAGTTAATTGTGTAAATAGCAGGTACTAAGTTTTATTGTTTAACTTGGGAAAGAAATCAAACAATTTTAGCCTTTTCCCTTTCAGGTTAGGCAAGAAATCTATATAAATGACCAAACAGTTAAAATCTGAGTTTAGCTGCCTTAAAATCTTTCATGCAAGTATAATAAAATGTTTTCACATTGCTGTACCTTTAAGAAATTTTAGTAAACTATTCCTCACTCAGCTCCATTTCCCACAGCTCCTTGAAAAAATCTGCACTGATTAAACCTCATTCAGAGAAGCCTTGTATGGATTCTTTTATGATAGGTTAGACAGGTATAGTTTGCACTATTGACTGCATTGGGTCTGGTTCTAAAGATTGTAAATGATATGTGAATGATCCAACCATCATCGATTAATCGATCGTGTCTTGTGTGGCAATGTGGCAATAAGAATTTTTGCTTTAATGCCAGAAAGAGCCCAACAGATTTTACTCACACAAGTGGAACATTATCGCTTTCGCCCTAGTGCTCGGCTTGATCTATATATTTACGGTAATTAGTTTTATTATGGTTTATGTAGGGAAAAATTCATGTTATGTGGGCATTACAAAAAAAGGAGAGAACGTGAAAGAAAGAAGACAAAAGAGAGATAATAACAAAACATCGGTCTGCTTCATCACCTGCAAAGAGAGATGCAAAAAGGAAAGCACAACCAACTGATATAGAAGTACAGATACAATACGGCAACATACAGTGTAATCAATAAAGAATGCATAAAGTTAGCTGAAGATAAGAATCAGCGACTATGTAACAGGATCAAAGCATCTTTAGGTGTTTGTGAGAGTGCGGTTGTGTGTGTGTAAGGTTTATCCATGGGGAAAAGACTCAATTGAGGTGAATCAAATAGAGGTCACACTCCGTAGCTCTACAGGCAGGTCCTTGAAAGTCTGAAGCATACAGAAATTGTCAGTACCTTTAAATTGGGTAAATAATGTTAGTTTATTGCAGCTTTCTGCTTCATTTCAAAGATCCCTTTCTCATTCAGAATTCATAACTTATTAGTTAGTTATGGAATAAATAATCCTGATGCTTGATATATAAGTTACTCTTTAGCGTTTTTCTTGTTTTTAAAGTAATGATTTACACTTCTACTCCTTTATTTTCCTGTAAACCACCTTGAATTACACTTCACTTGCCTCTTAACCTTAGAGCCTTTGTGTCTCTTATGTTTCAGAGCTGGGAGATCATTGCAGTGGATGAATCCACATTGTATCCCAGAAACAATCATGTCCCTCCATCCCATGAGCCTCCAGCGTTCTCGTCTCTCAGTAACGAGAGCAGCAACCATCGCGCCTCACGATCCTCAGCTAGAGAGCTCCGCAGTGCCCAGAATGTGAGTATTTGTTTTAGAAGGATGAGATTGCAAACCACCTTCTTTCACTGAGTGAGGGAGGGAGGTTATAAACGGATGCAACTGAACCAATAAAGCATTTTATATCTTCTGCTACAGAATCACACTAGTAATTCAAACCATTCCAGCCTCAGAGAAAGTGCTTCAGTAAGAGAGGAGCTTCCTGTAAGTCCCGTGGTGAGTATTTCCCACTTAATAATATTTACTCACTTAGTTTAACTATGTCACACACTAAACCTCTAGTTCTAACGATATGCCTTCCTTTTCAAAGTTGCTGTTCCATATTTCCCTGCTGGGTTCTGTATAAGTGAACTCAGGAGGAACGCACCTCTGATCAGTTTTACATGTTTGTTCTGTTGAACAGTCGCCTCCAACATCAGCTCAGTTGCCTCCAGGCTGGGAGGAGAAGCGTGACAAAAAAGGAAGACGGTACTATGTCAACCACAACACCCGAAGCACCACATGGGTGCGACCTGTTTTTCAGGTACACGGCTTCCTTATGTACTCCTCTGTTCTGACGCTACATTTTGTGCATGGTAAATGTACAGTGAAATAGCACTCTAAAATTCACATATTTTTGCTGTGTGGATGTATAGTTTAGTCCATTATAGAGCAGAAGAGTCACTGAGATTTACTCAAGTAAAGAAAACCTCATAAACAACAGTAGACATTTGTCATTCATTTAACAAAATGCCAATACTTACAATCTTAACCGTTACCTCTGTAAAGGATTTAAGGGGACATGTAGCAGCTAGGCAGTGTTGATTAAATGCACTTAATAGATCAAAGAGAAGAGTGGCTTCCTCTGTAAAAGCAGGGTTTTTGCTCAAATTGAAAATTTGTTTACTTTGTTCTGGCAATGATGGCTAAAGCCCTCTCCTAACTGGGTTCTGCAACAAGATGGTATTTGCAAATACGGCTGCAAATAATGGCTGAACAAAGACAGATTGAAGGTGTAGGAAGTGCATGGAGAGTCCAGGGCTACAGATGGTGAATATTTCACACGCCTTCATTTCTAAAAAAAAAAAACAAGCTATCCATTTATAGATACCTACTTACTCCTCAGGTGTGGTTTTTTTGGTTTTTTTTACGGGCATTGGGGATCACTAAATTAAGGCAAGGTAGATTTATTTATATAGTACATTTTAGTAGTCAGATGATTCACAGCGTTGTACTTGATAAGAAAACTCACTGGAAAATTACAAGATAGTTTAAAAAAAGATAATAAAATGAAAGTTTTAACATAACTTCAACTAATAATGTTTAGACAGCACAGTCCATGGCCGCTCTATTCAAATACCTTTTGCAACTTAGGTTTTCAATACTTTTTAGTTTACTTCTTTAGTTTTCTAGATTATTGCACATAAGAGCTAAAAGCTGCTGCTTCATGTTTGTTTTTGGGTATATAGTGTAGATTTGATCCAAAAGACATGAGAGGTCTGGGTGCCGGATAAACTAACTGCAAGTTAGTAAAGCATTATAGTGAGAAGCCATTGATCTATTTCTAAACTAATAGAAGTATTTTGAAGTCTGCTCTCAGAGATATGGGGAACCAGAGTAACGACTTTAGAACTGGTGTGATGTGTTCCACTTTTTTTTAGTTTCAGTTGGGACGTTTTAGAGACTAGTGACTTATTGATGCATTTACAGCAAAAGGTTATACACTTTTGCTTAATAAATATGAAACAGAGTTATTGCCTTGGCTTCATACTCTGGAAAAATACAGTAAAATATAGTTATGTCTTTTATCATGCAAAAAAAAAACAAAAAACAAACGCTGTTTATTATTTCCTGGTTGAGTGAACACTTCCAGAACCTAAACATTTGTTGTTGGGTTGTTGCTACATTGTTGGACAGATTTCTCCAGAGGAAACAGCCGCAGCACCCACTGGATCAGCTCAGCCCCAGAACCTCGGCTCACTCTCCCAGCCACAGCTCAGACCTGGAGAGTCGTCTCAGTCCAGGCCGACTGCAGAGGCCACCACACCGGAGACTGGATCCTTACCCCCGGGTTGGGAGGTGCGCAGCGCCCCTAATGGAAGACCGTTTTTTATTGATCATAACACAAAGACGACCACCTGGGTAAGTATTTAGCAGACCAGATCTGTAACAGTTTATTTATAGATGAAAACTCGCCTCTTGTTTTTTTTTTTTTTTTTCTTATAAACAAAGATTCCTGCAGATTTTGTGGGAAATTTTGTGAGTTTTAAATATGAAATTTAAAGAAAAGTAAAACATGAAGGCTGTAAAATAAGCAAACAAAATATAATTTGTTAAAAAAACAGCTTTACCTTTTAATCTGCATCAATGACAATACTGAGTTTAGAGAGCATGTTTATTTGAAGGTTTCCTCTACTTGTTTGTGATCGTCTGAACAGGTAGATCCAAGGCTTAAGGTTCCTGTGCAGATGAGAAGGACCGGCTCCCTTGACCCCAATGATCTGGGCCCTCTACCAGTAAGCTCTACTTTTACAGACATTCAAAAACAACATGTCTGCTTACTTCTGTATATGTTGTTATTTCATGGGATATTTTATAGATATGAGGTCCTGTAACATGTTTTTGGATGTTTTTTGTTTCCAGCCTGGTTGGGAGGAAAGAGTTCATAGTGATGGGAGGATATTCTACATAGATCACAGTTCGTATAATTTTACAAGTTACAAACTGGAATGGTTTGGTATTTAATATTTTCTTACTGTCAGGAGATGACATTTAAAAATATGTTTTATTTAATAGACACTAAGACCACACAGTGGGACGATCCCCGATTACAGAACTCTGCTATAACTGGTCCAGTGAGTATAGAAAAAATAAAATACATACTTGTAAAACTTTTAAACAAATCTGTAGAGATTTTTGTCTTAATGCTGATGGGTTTTTTTCTTTTTACAGGCTGTGCCTTACTCTAGAGACTACAAACAGAAGTATGACTATTTCAAGAAGAAGCTGATCAAACCGGTGAGTCTCATCAGACGGTAATAACAACGGGGATTGGAGTGTAAATCTGATACTGCGTATAACAGCTGAACACTGTTCGTTTCCCTCACAGTCCGACATCCCAAACCGCTTCGAGCTGAAGCTGAAACGTAGCTCTGTGCTAGAGGACTCCTACAGACGCATCCTTGGAGTGAAGAGGCCAGAACTGCTGAAAGCTCGACTCTGGGTGGAGTTTGAGGGAGAAAAAGGTCTGGACTATGGAGGTGTGGCCAGAGAGTGGTTCTTCCTCATGTCCAAAGAGATGTTCAACCCGTACTATGGACTGTTTGAGTATTCTGCCACGTAAGTTTAAAAACTGGTACTCTACAAACTCTGTCTTTATCTTAATTCAATATTAACAAAAATTTCAAACCACACATTAACTTTCTGATTCATTTTTTCGTTTATTTAATCAGGGAGATCTCATTGAGAATTGATTTTTTTTTTCTCTCCCAAATTTTCTGGTAGCAGACTAAAAATAAATGGAAAATTAGCATATTTTATAGAAATGTAACATCACAAATATATAACTTTTTGAAGTAAAAATCTAATTATAGACGTTATTATGCCTTAAAAATAGAGGAAAACTCAACCAACTTGATAATCTGAACTATTTCAAATGTTTATGAACTTAAAGATATAGAGGAGGATCTTTTATTTCCTTGTGGATCATCTAAATAAGTGGTCCTCCTAATTGTCAATCATTCTGGTGATATGTTTACATAAGGCCGTCCTACATGCTCGTCCCATTGGCTATCTTTTTCTGCACATGCACACTATCAGTCATATATATGTGTGGTGAGCTACGGTTGAATACAGACATTGAAGCTCACCTATCTCCCTGTGGTTCTTGAAAATGGCCGTAGGTCGAAAGAGAAAATTTTTCTACGAAGTGTATGAGAAGAAAAGAAAGGCCTCAGAAGAGACAGATTTATCCTGGAATGCTTTGCACAGTATTATTTTACACTGCTGTGCATTTGTTGCACAGTAGTGTAAAAATGAAAAAGATGTTTGTTCTCTTGATTTAGAAGATGTCATACTCTTCTTCCATCCACAGCAGAACAGGCCTGTTCCTGTTTAATATTGATGAGCCTGATTCAAGAGAGCTTTTAATCAGTTCATCTAACACAGCATTTTCACAGAAGGCCCTCTGTAAAACACCTGGTGCCTCATAATACTTCAGATGAGCATCAGAGTGAAGACTTACCATGATATCCAACACTGCTGCACAATGAAACATGCATAAATGCTAAAAACACTTGAGCAATGTTTCATTTTAATGACAAAACTGAGTTGTTTTTTTAACCTGAAATCTTTCAGAGACAACTACACTCTGCAGATTAACCCCAACTCCGGTTTGTGTAATGAAGACCACCTGTCTTACTTCAAGTTTATTGGTCGGGTGGCTGGCATGGCGGTGTTTCACGGCAAACTACTTGATGGTAGGTATTTAAAGCTGAAACTTGGTTAAATAAAAATAAACTTCTGCAGCTTTAATAACAACGGGAGATTTTTGTTTATCTTTCTTAAGCATTCTTCATTCGGCCTTTCTACAAAATGATGCTGCAGAAGCCCATCACACTGCAGGACATGGAGTCTGTTGTGAGTGTCAACACATTTATTGAGGATTTAGGAATTGAGAATCATCTGGAACATTTTAGGCACTTTAAACTGCAATCTTTTTTTTTTCTTATTTAGGACAGTGAGTACTTTAACTCCCTAAAGTGGATTTTGGAGAACGACCCAGAAGACCTGGACTTGAGGTTCACCATTGATGAGGAGCTGTTTGGAGAGGTGTGCCTGACATCTTAAACGTCTTTCTCCACACATTTAATATGAGATGTGTCTCATGATGAATGATATACATCACTCTGCTGCCTTTACAGACTCACCAGCATGACCTAAAACCAGATGGCTCAGAGATTGTTGTCACCAATGAAAACAAGGACGAATATATCGAGTAAGGAGCAACATCACTCAACTAGATTATCTTTCAAGAGCTTAGCTGGGACTCTTAAATAATGTCCTGTTTTTTGTTTGCCAGCCTGGTGATGCAGTGGAGATTTGTGAACAGAATCCGGAAACAGATGACAGCTTTCAAAGATGTAAATTTGTTTGATTCTAAAGTGATAAAGTCATTGAAAATGAATAGAGAATAAGACTGCTAATTTGTTTCAGGGATTCTTTGAGCTCATACCAAAGGATCTGATCAAGATCTTCGATGAGAATGAGCTTGAGGTGAGTGTTCTCTTTGAGATGTTAAAAGATTAAAGTAATTTCTCCGTAAACATGAATTTTAATCTGCATGCCTTTATTTATTCCCACAGCTGCTCATGTGTGGGCTTGGAGATGTGGATGTGAATGATTGGAGGCAGAACACCAAGTACAAAGGTGGTTACTGTGGTGACCACGTAGTTATCCAGTGGTTTTGGAAAGTAAGACAGTTTTTCTTACCTTAAGCTGAGATGTATACAGTTCCACAGGTTCCCCTCAGTTTGGCTGTAAGGGAAAACACTTTCAAATTAATTTTGTTACCCTAATATCATTGTTTTGTGCTGTATAGACTGTATTACTGATGGATGCAGAAAAGAGAATCCGGCTCCTACAATTTGTGACAGGAACATCCAGAGTCCCAATGAATGGCTTTGCTGAGCTCTATGGTGAGTTAAAAAATTTGATTTCCCCCATTTCACTTAGGAAGGAACATCTTATACAAATAAATGTCTTACCTTTTTTAAACTTTAAAATCCTTTACATATTTTTCTTCTGCTGAAGGTTTGTTGTTGTTTTTTTATTTCTGAGTTGATTTCAGTAAATACATGTTTTTTTTTTTTTTTTCTGGCTTTATTTTTCAGGGTCTAATGGACCACAGCTGTTTACCATTGAGCAATGGGGCACGAGTGATAAACTTCCCAGGGCCCACACATGGTAAGCACTTTACTTCTCTAAAATAAAACACATTGTTTCCATTAAAAGTCTGCCCCTCTTTTAAAAACCACCTGTAGATCTAAATATGTTCTTGTTAATTAGCAATGGAGGCAACTTTACTGCAATCAGCTGAAAATTTGAAGTCTTTTGCAGGACTTTTTTATTCAGATGTAAAGGCTCAGCTTGTTGTGCTAATAAAAGCAAAGGAACCTGCCATTACATGTCTTACTGCAAGTCTCTAGCTGAAGAGGATTTTACCCTCTTACACTTTCTCCAGATCCTTTAAATTTTTTTTTTTTTATTGTTTGTTTTTTAAGAAGATTGAACTATTTTTGCGTTGAGGTTCCTCTAATGGTGCGTTCACACCGGAGGCGGTGACAACGGGCAAGTTTGTGGATTCCCATAGTAGTCCTATACAAACTGCACGGTGAGAGCATTCCCTGTTCCGCCCTCACCTCCTGCTACTAGATAGTGGTGTTTTCAAGCAGCAGCACCCCATGGAGAGAGGGACTTGTCGTAGGCGAATCATTTTTTACTCAAAATGGAATACAGTGATAAATAATAACAAAGGTAGAAATAAGGAATGAGGTCTTTAGGTGGCTTTATAAAAAGCTTTTTTACTTTACTCCTAGTAGCACTGCTCGTCCTCACTCATCTCCAGCACTGAGCCCGGTCTATCATTGCCCAGTATCCCTGCTTTCTGTAGTAGTAGATTTACAAGGAAGTCGCTGCATCTGTATGAATCAAAATTAACTCTTTTGGGGCTTTTCCAAAATATGATGGTCTCCTAAGGAGATTCAAATGTTGTTCATAAGGAGCAATTTAGCAGTAGGCCGTGATGTTAAGTCTCACCTGTGCTTTTATTGTTAAATACCAACAGCAAGACCTTGACAGGAAATGACATGGGGTTGCCAGGGGTAACGGTTAGTCCAAATCATTTAACAAATGACCATTTTAAACTCACAAACCTGCTCTAATGAAGCAATAACCATTTAGTCTACTTGATACGTTTTTTTCACGTTAGTGGAGTGTCAGCTTAGCGCAGCTTAAGCTCCTCGTATTTGATGATGCAGTCCAGGGTGTTAACACAGTGCATCTGAAATGCCGAGCGGTGAACTACCTGCGGGGCTCACGGAAATCACCGCCTTTACCGCCTACTGTGTGAACGCTTCATTAGGCCTTTCTGCTTCCGCTGTCCATTACTCCTTTTGTGATGAGATATCCTGGTCTTGTCATGGCGACAATGTCAACAATTGAATGTAGCTTTCCCCGAACAGCCCACGCTGTTTATTTGTCCAGTCCTAATGTTTGAACTCTCTCTCTGATTAATTTGATTTATTTGTAGCTTGCCAGTGCCCTAGTTCTCATAAACACAAATTATTTTATAGTTGGATAGTAATCAACGCCTCTCATAGATGGAGGAATTAACTGATCACCATGTTTAAAATTGCACAAGTAGTTTGCCTGATTTAAGAACTTAAAGAAAAGGTGCCAAGTATTGAGTTTCAAATTTAATAAAAGGTCCGGTAAGCTTTAATAAAGGTATCAGTTTTCATTGACGCTAAGATAAATACACCTAACTCTTGAAAAGTAATCCTGCACAAAGGTATATAAGGGATACAACAGATAAGGGGATCAAACATTTATTTGTTATAATGATATAATTTTGGGACTTTGAGCTGGTTCTTGGCTTGTGGAAAACTAAACTGTTATTTTTGTACTACTGGCTAAGAATTGCCTCAAAACCGACACCGGTTAAGGTCTAGAACTGTGTTGGTGGATCTAGCTATCCTGAATTCTGCTAGCTGCATACAGACTTAGAATAGAATACAATGAAAATGGTTTATTGATTCAGGGGAATATTTATTGTACTGATTGTAAGTCATTTATCGCCATGACCCAGTCAAAGGTCCTATACTGCTTTGCAGAACAATGCACTGCAGTAATAACTCATGGCTTCTTAGCTTCAGAGGTTGTGAGTTTGGTTTGGTTTTAAATGCATTTCAAGTACGCTTTTTCCCTTGCTCAAATTTTTCCGTATATTTTTCTCAATACTCACTGAGTAACTGACCTTCAGTGGCTTATCCACCTTATGAAGAATAAGTTAAATAGTTTTCTAGACAACTGCAGATACAACCTCACATTTAAAAAACCCTGATTATTTTCCTTCCATCTCCTAAAGCTTCAACCGCCTGGATCTTCCACCTTACGAGTCCTTCGAGGAGTTAAGGGAGAAGCTCAACATCGCTATTGAGAACGCGCAAGGCTTCGATGGGGTAGATTGAAGAGCGTGTCTGGACAAGGGGAGCTGACATTGCTGCAGTCAGAATGGAGCCGATGAGGATCTGAGCCTGCCAGCTGTGTGAGAGATGAGGAGAAAACCACATGGCCATCCCTTGGTCCACTGCTGGAGCACACAGGAAGAAAAAAAGTGACGGATATTTCTATATCCACATCCTTTAAAGTTTACAAATCATATCTTTTTTTTATATGGAGTCGCTCAGAGGTGTATGTATTTACTTGTATTTGTTCTGCTTTAATGCTCCGTTGTGTTAGAGGTTGATTATTGTTAGCTTATATGAATAAATACTGTGAATGTGATCTTGGAGACGAGCTATAAATTCATGCCTTGCTCAATGAAGATGTCTCAGGCTTTGGTTTGGAATATTACATCAGCATCCTGCTTTAGGAAAGGGATCTGACTATAAAATACATTAAAAAATCACATAAAGTTATCAAACATTCTCCTACCAGAGGGAAATATGTACCTGGAGAAATTTTCTCATTCTTCTGCTTAACTCTATCCAAAGATACGTGGGAGTCTTTCTGCTTTAGGACAACGAATGAGTAAAAAGCTGTTTGTTTTTAGATGTTTTCCAAAGCATGTTAATCGGTCACTGCCAGCTGTAAGGATAAACTCCTCAATAGACAAAATCAAATTCAGCATTTTTTTTACTTTAAATGCTCTACTTTCTAGATAAAAAAAAATAAAACAATGTAAAACATAGTAGAAAAAAATTCATCAGAAATTATTCCTAATTCTTAAAATATATCTACCGCTGTTTTGCTTTTTTTTTTTTTTTTTTAGAAATGCTTTATTTAAAAAAAAAAAAAAATCTTGACTTGCGTCTTTTCTTGACCACTTGACATCCTGGTCTTTTCATAGAGAAAAGGAAAGTTATATAAGGATACTTTCTTTTCTGTATACATTTTTCATTCCAATATTTCAGATGGGTGGATGCATGGACCTTAATGCCATCTATAGCTGACATGGTTACATACACATTTGAGCGATATCATTTAATCTTAATGTGTAAAATACAATATTAAGGTAGCAATGTACCGATACCTGGACCAGTAGAAAGCTTCAGTAGCTGAACTGTATCTATGTATTATCTGTGTAGTCCACAACAGACAAGAAGTGACTACATACAGTATTGGATTGTGCTCAAATACTATGCACTATTGTATATATCGATGTAAGCCAAGCATCTCTTAATTTCTGAGTCGCTCACATGTTGCATAAATGTAATGTACATGCAGATATACCTGTGCCTTCTATATGTGGTTTTAGAATCCTGTAAACTTTGTCGTTTAAACTCTGATCGCATAAAAAGAATCTATGTAAATTAATTTTCGATCTCTGGGTGGTGGCTTGTCATTAAGCTTTTGCAAGCTGGCCTTAAAATGTTAGATCATTTTTACTGGATTTCTATCTTGAGATATCATTGTTTAATCTGAAACTCGTTAGGGTTTCTGATTGCAGCTCTGTGCTCTGTTTTTTAGAGTGCATCTTCAACATTTTTTTTGTACATATTGTTTATTGTGATAGCGAGAACTAATTTGTAATATCTTTGTGTGAGCCGCCTGTGCCTGAGCAGTAGTTTTAACATTTTCTGACTGGTGAAATGTGTTTACACTAACTGCCATGTTTACAGACCAGTGAGGTGGAAGATGATGTGGCCTTCGACATTTTCTTGCTCCTGCTTTTTTAATGTTAAGCACTTTGTTGATATTCAAGAGTCTTACTTCTAAACAGAATCTTTGCCAAACTATTGCTTGCAGACTGTTTATATAACCCACAATCCTTTGCTTCATGTGCACATGTTTGAATGTTTACATGTGAACCTTGCTTAAAATAAGCACTTTCTCTTCTTTCACATTCATTTTTAAGAGAAACACCAAGGCCTTCATTTTCTTCATATCGATTCTAAATGTGTTATCTTATCTAAAAGGAGTTTGTGTGTATGTATCATCATCACCCACTAGCAACAACAACCCTTTCTGTTATCAGGTTTTAGTATTTTACTGAGGTGCATTACAGCAATACTGTATGCAGTTTAAAAGTGCCGAATTATCATTAATTTTAACTGCCTATGCCACATCTATAGACTGAATAAGATTGCATAATAAACTCATAAAAACCTGGAATAAAAGTCTAGCAGTTCTCTGCTTATTTCTACATTACTTGTTTTTATACTGATCATCAGGTATCAATATTCTATAAGGTTGACATGATTTCCCCCATTAGTATAAACTCATATTTTAATATCTGTTGGGGGGTTTTCGGTGATTTACCTACAAGTAATTTCAGGAAGTACCAATGGGGGCTAAAGATGCATGCTCAAAATTAAAACATACCAGCTTAAATATTTATATATCGATTGCTTCTGGTTTTGCTTTTATTTTTCTTAAATGTTTTATCTCACTCAAAGTGGTATGTCTGTGAAAAGAATTACAAAACAATTTGCAGGCTTTGGGTCTCCAGTGAATCATAAAAATGTTATTCAAAGAAAACACAGATCGATAGAGGCTATATAAGAATTTATGTAAGAATATTCTCTGAAACATATTTTTTTTACCTATTTTTTTCTTTTTAATATAACTTTAAAAAGTTGCAGCAATTTTCTCTTATCCTCCTTCTTGTTAAATAAAATAAGCAATTTCATATTGTTGCAGATTTATGTATTGATCAGCAGAGGGAGTGCAAACTCATTTTCTTGAGGGTCTCAGAACCTCCAGCCACTCACTTAATGGTGGTAGGGTCATGGGGAGACTGGCTCCATTGGTTAGTAGTTTGTAGGTCCATTGATTGCACTGCAGATATATTCACTCATATTTTTAGAGATTTATATTTTTTGGTTTCAACTGACCACCTTTGAACAAATGTTACCCAATATTAAATTTTTACTGCTCAATAAAAACAAGATTTTTTTTTTTTCTGTCTAACATTACTGCTGGAAATGGCTGCAGACCTTTGTGACTCTGAAGAGCTTTAGGTTGCTCTAAAAATGTATGTGCTTTTTCTCTAGAAGCACTTTAAAGAGAAGCAACACCAACATTTCTGTCACTGAAAACGTTGGCAAGTTTCATCTATAGAGCCACTTTCTTATTGTTTCCTACAACCTCCCTTATCATTGCACTAAAGTCCCTTCCCCTTCTTGGGGGTCAGTGAAAAGGTCACACACACAATTCAGGCCAGCCTTTCGGACACTTCTGGGGGTCAGTGGGGATGGGTGTGTGTTTTGTGGCACTAGGACACAGTTCTCACCCAGTGGCAGATGGTCCTGGGAAAACCTGGTTTCTTTTAACCCACATCCTCACAGAAAATGCAAAACCTGATCATGACTGATACGACATTGATCTGGCTGCAGCAGAGCCTGACCTGAGCTTACAGGCTCCCTCAGCCTCCCTCCACCCACTGAATGTGTCGTATTGGCAGGTCCCCATACTGAAGTCTTGATTAATTGATCACACGGGGGAGATCCCGAGCTCATACTTTTTAACGTTATGTAAGAGATGGGATGAGGGGTGTTTGCACACACTATGTTTGGTCTTTAGCTGGTATAAGCTTGTATATGAGGCATTTCAAATCAGAATCAGAATCAGAAATACTTTAATAATCCCAGAGGGAAATAAATAAGACATCCCATTAAACATGTTATTGTTTGGTTAAACTTATTAAGATGTTATGCCAGATAGATAGATAGATAGATAGATAGATAGATAGATAGATAGATAGATAGATAGATAGATAGATAGATAGATAGATAGATAGATAGGCCTTCAAAAATATTCTGAGGGACCTCTTAGTCATCCCAGCTGGATGATGGTGCTGAATAAAGCTGAACACATGGAGGGGGGGTGAACCATCAGGGGCGCTTGTGGGGGTTTAAATTCAGTTCTCAATAAATGACAAGCAGTGGATCAATACTGCTACTGACACAGCAGCTGTCATGCTCTCATCAATGCTTTCTAGTAATTGCAGGTCACACTTTCAGGGGAAAAACTTATTTTCATTTACATTTTTTTCTCACGGTCTGCAAAGACCATTTGGTGTGCAGTTTGACTCTGATTCCTGATAGATCCGCTCTAATCAATACGACTCGGCTGTGTTGATGAGGGAAAGTGGAGGGTTCCTGATGGGTTAAAAGAGGGAAAAAGAGAAGGCATAGTTGTGTGGGTGCAATTGGGAACTTTTTTTATTATCCAGTCAGTCAGGTAGATCTTATGTATAAATAAGGCACATTTTATTTTAGATAGGATCGGAACTTGGTAGCTCATTATAATTTGCCTTCCAGTTATGACAACGCAACTACTTTACGTTTTTTAGTCTCCCTGCAATAATAAAAAAAGATACACATTTGTCAAAAGAATACAGCTTTTACACTGAAATATTGATATTGTAATAATAATTGTATTGTAAATAAATAAATAATACATATTAATTAATATTTTGCATTTAAGATAAGAAAAAAAACACATCCAAATCCCCTCAAACAGAACAGTTTTAGTTTCACATGGTTTAAATTCAGTAACTTCTTTAGGTAAGCTTTTATAATCTAATTATTAATCATTTGTTGAAAAAAAAAAATGCACAATACATCTTTTACACTGAAATATTAATATTTTAATAATAACGAAATGGATGGTTATAATGAGAATCATTGGCTTAGTAAAACACACTGAGACTATCTTATTTTAATGAATGATTTTACTGTGAAATTGGGCTGTGTGGGTCTGATTGGTGCTGCAGTGCAGGTGTCCTGCCATCGGGTGGCGCTGAAGCACAGGCTGCTCGATGACCCTGAGGGAGGAGGGAGGGAGGGGGACTGCTGCCTCCGTCCAGCCCAGAGGAGGGAAACTGACCCTCTGCATCTCTGTCCACTAGTCCAGCTCCTCAGTAGAAGTGCGGCTCATGTAGAGGAATCAATCATGAGAGAGTAGCTAGCATGTCTTGGAAACTATTGTAAATGGCTCCTCTAAAAAGGAAATTATTCCAGCGTTTGCTGCTCTTTGCTATTTTTCTTCCAATCTCAGGTAAGAAAAATCATTTATGTGTAATGTGGTTGTTAAAGCAGGTAAAGCAGAGCAGGAGTTCATCTGTTCGGCTTTAGCTGACAGTGGAGAGCTGTAACCGTTAAACTTTAAAAGCTAATGGTTGGCTATAACTTAATGAGGTGCAAAAAATTAGACACCATAACTTTTAACTTGGTTTTAAAAACTAGTGGCGGTTTTTTTCCTAATGAAAAATAATGAATTTCAGAAATGACACTATCTTAAAGAACTCAAAAATATTTCTTATTATCAGTGAATAAGTAATGATAATTATTCTGATTTATCAACTTGTAAACTCTTGTTTTAGGATTTTTTTCATGATTTCTTAAAAGTGAGTTGCCAGGAAGCCTAGTTTTATAAGTGAGTTGAACTCAAGC